AAAAATAATATGTAATTATATATGTGTTTTCCGATGGTCTTAGGTGACCCCTGTGAAAGGGTTGTTCGACCCCCAAAGGGGTCGCGACCCACAGGTTGAGAACCGCTGAATTAGTGGTTATTAATATGGACCAGGAATTGGGAAATGGAAGTAATAAGAAAGAAGTTTTGATAATTGTGCTGAGAAAGAACAAGTCTCTTTTCCAGGCATCACTTCCCAGGCCAGCTTTCTTTCTTTTTCCTTCTTTTTGTCCTCACCTCCTCCCCTCCTGTCCCATCCTGCATTGATCTTGCATAGTTTACCGCTTAGTTTATGGAAGAAACCTGTGCCCCGGAGGCAGCCAGGAGGCTCCCTGCACCAGAGCTTCACACTGGACCAGCAGCATCAGCGCCAGGTGGGAGTTTGATATAAACGCGGATTCTCAGGGCCCACTGCAAAATTACTGAATCAAAATCTATGGGGGTGGAGGCCAGGACAGGTGATTAAGGAGTTACTGGGCTCCACCCCAGAGTTCCGATTCAGTATGTGTGGGTACAGCCAAAGAATCTGAGTTTGAGTTGCTGGGGACAGGAGGGGTGTGTGTGTGTGTTAGGGACACTGGGGTGGGGGGTATTGGGGAAGATGGTTCTTCATACCAGATGTTAAGAAACCCAATGCCGGCACAGAACACTTTCAGGTAGCTTCCATTTGAAAAAGGGGCCCTTCTGCTAGACACGCCTTTAAAGAGCCTTAAAAAACGTTCCATTTCAAGTACCTCTCCCCCTTGACATCCAGGGGCTCCTCGGGTCCCTGGAAATAACAGGGAAGCAGCAGGAGTCCGGTGATGTGTCCAAAGGCAAACAGAGCTTTCCCTGAGAGAAGGGGTCTCAGGGGCTTGTCAAGGGGCCTCTAAAAATTCCATCCATCGGGGAGTTTCTGCCGCACCCACACCTCACAGAGACCAGTGCCCAGGCGCAACTCTCGGCTCCCTCACCAGTGCAGGTTGGTCACTGCTGCCATCATCTCTTGTTATTTCTAATTCCTGTTAACTTTTATCTTGTGATCTTGTTACCTTTAATTCTTCTGGACCCACTAGGCTTCTGCCTCCCTTGGGTGATTGAAAGTCTTTTTGACTCAGTTCTTTACTTGCTGATCATGTCTGGGTTTTAGAATCTATAGGTTGTTAGCAGAAGGGAGAAAAGTCTCTTGTGCAGAGCTGTGCCTCCCCCCAGGATGGGCACATGTGAAGATGCCAGCCCTCAGGAAGGGAAAGGGAGGTGGCGCTTGAGAAGGAAAGGACTGAAGCAGAATTAAAATGCGATGTGGAAGTAGCATATCTAACAGGTTCTGAGGACTGGCTAATTTATTCTGAGCAGCTCCTCGGCATCAAACGCGTCTGCAGGCAGCCGGCTGCCTTGCCATCCTTAGGGCTGGCGAGGGCTCAAGGAAAAGGACGGTTGAGTGATTGGGCTGAGGAGAACGTGTCTGCCGAAGCCCTTCTTTGGGAAGGTCACTCAGAAAACAAGGTTGCAGGATTATCTCCCAGGACGGAGGCTGCACTTTGACCTAAAAATCCTTAAGTAGGAGGAGGAGAGAGATGAGGAAGGAGGCGAGGCCAAGAGTTTGTACGTGAGGCCCAGCAAATCTGAACCCAGACCAGAGTCCTGCAAGCGGAATGGAGCTTCCAGCTCCTTCCCCGGGAGCTCTGAAACAGATCACTTGCCCACAATTCAGACTTTGCCTCGATGAGGGTCCTTTTATGCCCAATTCTGCCGTCACCATCAGTTTTACGGCAGAGTGAAAAAATGAGGACTTTAGAGCCAGACCAAACGTGATTATCTTACATCCTGGCTGTGTGACTTTGGGGGAGCTAATTTCCCTGGGCCTCAGTTTCCTCATCTATAAAAGGGGGGTAATGGGACCTACCTTGTTGTGAGGATTAAGGATCTACGAAGGTATTGCAATATTGTTTGTGCCCAAAGGATGTGAATTCCCTTTTGCAATAAAAAACGACAACTCCCTTTTATGTATTGAGCACCCCCTCCCACTGAGCCAGCTATGCGTTACGTTATTGCAGAATTGCAGCGTGGCGGTCCTTCGTGAGCTGGGTGTGGGGGTCCTCATTTAATAGGCGAAGAGCCTGAAGCACCAAGAAGTGGAGTCCAAGGCCATTTGGCAAAGATGGAGGTAGGATTTGAGCCCAAGTATCATTTAAGATCCAGGTTCAACATTTCGGCACATACTCTCTCTTCTGAATCTTTTGCTTGGCAGGACAGAGTTCAGCAATAGAAAGATTCAAAGAAAATGCACTTTCAACACTTGGTGTGATTGGCAGAGTATAACCTGGCACTAATTGATGTGTTTGTTGATAATAATTTGAGGCCTGTCTTTGGCTATCACACATTTGCATCACACCCTATTTGGGAATATTTATTTATTCTCACAGCCTTTGCTTTGTTTCCCCAACAAGACTACAGGTCAGCCTAGGCTGCACTGTGAGTTGAAGTCTGGTTTCTTTTGCTAACTGCCACTTAGGAGCAGCCCTGGGCTTCCTGAACCCCCGTTTCTCTCCCTGTGAAGGAGCTAATGATCACTGTCCTTCTGATCTCAAGAATTCTTTCAAAGATCAATGAGCTAATAAAAAAAAGTGAAAGCTGTGTGCAACCCTGAATTACAAGAGAAATGCAAGGTTTCCTTCTCGGATCTCTGGAGGGCAGGAGGGAAGGCCTGATTTCCCCCTCTGTTCCTGCAGCCTCTAGAACAGCACTGATACAGCAGGGGACCCCAAACCTCTGCATCCGCCCCTTCCCTCATTAATTCATCCGCACCTTCCCAAAGCAGTGCTTCGCATGTACGCATCCGCACCCCTGCAGCCTTCGCAGAGGCCCCCGTGCTGGGAGAAGCATGTTCCCTTCCATCCAGCTCCTAAGCTCAGTGGGTAGGACCCCAGATCACCTCCTGTCCCACCTCTGCCCTGAGACCACTACACCCACCTCAGCGCCCCCCACACAACCCTTGGGGCCAGCAATCTCTGCCCCAGCCAAGCAGGTCTCTGGCTGTTCTTTACAGGAGACTCTGCAGCATGTTCACACCATTCCCTCTGCTAAGGGGTGTCCCTGACTTTTCCTCGCGTTGCTTCTGGGCCTAACCCAAACTTTACTTTCCCAGGAGGCTTCTCCTGAACATCCTGCTCCCAAAAGGCCTGGTCTTTTAATTTTTTAAATGGTCTAGCTGTTAATATTTATTTTAAATGAGATAGAATTCACATACCATAAAATTCACCCTTTTAGAGTGTACCATTCAGTGGCATTTAGTACAATCACAAGGTTGTGAAACCATCACCACTACCTAATTCCAAAACATTTTCATCACTGTAAAAAGAAACCCCATCCAGCCCTGGCCGGTGTTCTCAGTGGTTAGAGCATCAACCCTCGTACTAAAGGATTGAGGGTTCAATTCCTGGTCAAGGGCACGTACCTGGGTTGCAGGTTCAATTTCAGGGGTGAGTGTGGAAGGCAACCAATCGATGTGTCTCTCTCACATCAATATTTCTACCTCTCTCCCTCCCTTCCACTCTCTAAAAATCAATGGAAAAAATATCCTCAGATAAGGATTAACAAACAAAAGAAGCCCCATCCACATTAGAAGTCACTTCCTCCTTCCCCCTTCTCCCCAGCAACTGGCCATCACTAATCTACCTGCCTCTATGGGCTTGCTTATTCTTGGCCTTGTATATACATGAAACCATACAATAGGTAGCCTTTTGTGCCTGGTTTCTTTTCACTTAGCATAAG